CTTCCTTCCTTCCTTCCTTCCTTCCTTCCTTCTTTCTTTCTTTCTTTCTTTCTTTCTTTCTTTCTTTCTTTCTTTTTTTCCAAGACAGGGTTTCTCTGTTTAACAGCCGTGGCTGTCCTGGAACTTGCTTTGTAGGTCAGGCTGGCCTTAAACTCACAGAGATACACCTGCCTCTGCCTCCTGAGTGCTGGGATTAAAGGCGTGCACTATCACACCTGGCTGATTTTGGCTTTCTTATGTGACCTGTGTTATAGTATCCAGATTGTTAATGAGGGAAAGGTTCTTTTTGTACAATGGAAGATAAATTAGAAAGAATGGTGGAAGATACAATTCAGTTTCTTTTTTTTTTTTAGTTTGCAACTCAGTAAATCTTGGTAATTATTTTCACTGGTTGCCATCATTACCAAAAGACAGCCAGGTGTTCTTTATCTTCTGGTGGAAGTACATACTACCACACAGGGATTATTTATTGATACAAAATCTCAATTGATAGAAAATTCTAGCTATACTCAGAAAATACATAAAGTAGACATATATACTAGGGCCTTACACATATAATCACTCAGGTTCACGCAGCCAACTTCACCTTATCAACTCCTCAGCCTCCAAAGAGAGCTACTTCCTGTGTACTCATGCCTATATACCTTTCTTTGCCCTGCCATCTTACTTCCTCTCTTCGCCCAACTGCATCACTTCTTTCCACAGAAACTCAATAGACAAGTGGCCTATTTCTTAAGTAGGGAAATGAGAAAGAACAGATAATAGATTAAAAAATTTAAAACACATTAACCAGTCATCATTTATGTGTCTTGTTTGAATCTTGATTTGAACAAATGAAGTAACATACATATTTATATATAAAATTTGAAAACTGACTTAAATATGCTGATACCAGTGATTCAATATTTTAAGTATAATAATGATATTTTATGAAAGTCTTGCAGATACATAATAAACTATTAAGATATCAGATTTGCTTTTATTGATTAGTGGTTTATAGGGTAATGTGAGGAAGTAAGTATAAGATGAATTACTAAATGGTCTTATTAATAAAAAACCCAGAGCCAGATATTGGGGTGAAAACTGAGAGATCAGAGGAATAGGACAAGCCGCAGCCAACTTCACCTTACCAACTCCTCAGCCTCCAAAGAGAGCTACTTCCTGTGTACTCACTCATGCCTATATACCTTTCTGTGCCCTGCCATCTTACTTCCTCTCTTCGCCCAACTGCATCACTTCCTCTTTCCGCCCAGCTCTATTACTTCCTGTCTGTCTGTCCAGACCTCCAGATCACTATAGTTAACTAGCACTGGGATTAAAAGTGTGTGCCACCACATTTGGCTCTGTTCCCAGTATGGCCTTGAACTCACAGAGATCCGGGTGAATCTTTGCCTCCCGAATGCTAGGATTAAAGACATGTGCTACCACTGCCTGACCTCTATATTTAATATAGTGACTAGCTTTTTCCTCTGATCCCCAGATAAGCTTTATTGGGGTGCACAAATAAAATATCACCACAAGTAAGATTGATCATGAGTTGTTAATTGTTGAGTCTGAGTGAGGAATATACATGAGTTCTCTGCAGTTTATGTGCTTGAAATTGTAGAGAATAAACTATTGTTCTCAGTAAATGCTGACTGCCTGTTATTTGACATCCATTGTGCTGATGTCGAGTTTTCATTGGTCAGTCCACTGAACTGACACTAGCTTTGTGGACCTCGTGTTCTCCAGGAGGAAGCAGATGGTAACGTTAGTAAGTACAGACTGTGGTTGAGAAAGGACAGTAGCAGTTTGGTAATAGTCACAGTGAAGGACCTCCCACTAGGCTGGAAGGAGTGGGACCCTCTGACGTGGTGTCATCTGCCGGATTTGAAGGATGAGAGTAACGGGCTTGTAATGGCTGCACCTAGGGCATAGGAGGGTTGATGGCCATTCTGAGGAGGTCCCTGGTGTGGGTCTACTCATTCTCTCCTATGAGAGCAGATGTTTTCCTGTCTAGCCACTTTCTGTTTCTCTTGTTGACCATCTGTTGTGTATTTATATGTGTCTGACTTTGAATTTAAAGTGCAAATTCTAGGTTTGTTTACCGATCTGGCATAATTCTGTATGCCCTGAGTGTGTAATATATAGTATTTACTTTTGATGGTTTTTTTTTTACATGTAGTTTTTTCAAGAGATTGTCATAATGTGGGTAAGAATAGTCTTGTATCTTGAATGAAAGAATCAACAGTGAAAATGAAACATGAAAAACATCCTTGTAATCCTGGAAAATAAGGAAAGATGTCTTGGGTCCTGAACTATAGTTTGCTGTAAGTCCTGTCCTTTAGTTACCATCTGGCTGTTTGAGAAGAAAGAAAAAAAAATTTTTTTGAAAATGGCTAAATTTCTTACACGGATTAAAAGGTGCTGTGTTATATTATGTATTTAAGTACCATATTTTCCAATAATAAGCACAGTGGAGTATTTCAGTAAATGTTAAGTAAACAAATGACCAGTAACTTATGTAAGCTCCAAATCTTTCTCTGTGAATCTCTCAGAACATTGTATTGTTCTGAGTTGGTAATTCTTTCACATGTTTCCTTCTGCTTTCTTAATATTATTTCAGAAGACTAGCTTTTCCTGACTGCCCTCCTGGGATTCTGAGTGTGTGAGTGTGGGTGTGTGTGCACACATGTGCCTGCTGTGCACTCAAGGAGGTGGTGTTTACCTTTGACAACAGGTTCCTTTCCATGTTTTCCCTGTTTAGACACATTACAGACGCCACACTTGCCATCGTGAAAGGAGAGACAGTTCCACTTGATGTCTTGCAGATCAAGGTAAAATCTTTCCTTCAGTTTTTAAAAAAGGTATCAAAGTAATAAGCACAGGTTAAAGAAAATAAAGTTTTAACAGTTCACATGGGAATATGATGAACATGGCATTCCTTTTCTCTTCCTATCCCCTGAATTAGTCTCCAGAGAAAAGCATTATTCATGATTCTGTTATCACTAATTAATGTGTTTATGATCTCATTTTAAATACTATTGTTGTTGGGGCTGAACATACAGATAAATGATAGAATGTGTGTTTACCTGTATGTGGTCTAATCCCTAGGACCTCACCAAAAAAGGTAATTGTGATAAAAAGTCATGTGGTATAAAATTTATAACTGTGCTCATTCTAAGTCTGTACTTAGTAGTGTTACATGTATGATGTCACCATTTGATACGTTAGCTTTGAACTTACCTCTTGGCCTCTTTGTTACGTACAAAAATTCCTCTGTTTCACTTCCTAATATAATTATATCTAGTTTTAATTCCTCTACCTACTGCAAGAAATCCATCTACTTATGGTAGTTTTGAGCACTAGAAGGGCCCCTGACGCCAGCCATTATGCCATATGCCTGTAATCCCAACCCTCTGTAGGAGCACAAGGATGGAGGGTTCAAGGTCAGCTTTAGCTACACTGCAAGTGGAGACTAACCTGTACCACATGAAACCCTGCCTTTTAGAGGGGAAACAAAGACTGATGAAGTACTTAGGGCAGTGACTCATTTCTGTCCCTGTTGAAACGCTGGCTGCATCTTTCTTCCACGCTCTGCGACAAGTGAATGGTTTCTCATGTCTTGCTGGTGCGACTGGTCCTTGTCCTTCAGCTCACCTGGTTGTCTTGTAATCTCAGCTTTCACGAGAGCTTAAGAAGTGTTAGGACTTTGTAGATTGTCTGTCCAACCTTTCTCACTTAGGGTGTGAACAAGGTTTTCTGTAGCTTCCTGTATCTTAGAGCTCTACATTTTTCTGTGGAGCTGTGTAACATTTTCTTATTTGTAGATTTGTAGAGGATAATTTGATTTAGAGATGTTTGTTGGCTGTGTCAATGAACGGGCATAGGAGCAGTTATATCTCACAGCATACTGGGCACTCAGACTTTGGTCTTTAATTACTTCTATCTTAAAAATAACAACAAAAACAAACATCTACCAGGACTCAGTGAAAGAATAGTTTTCAAAAGATGAGTGTCAGGTAAGAAAACTCAAAAATTGATGGGGACATCACATAAAGATGTTAAGAGCCAACCGATTGGTGTGTGGGTATCAAAACTATTAACTGTGGATGGATTATAATGTCCTACATAAAAATAAGGAGTTCCTGAGGTCCACGTGATATTACAGAAGAATTACCATGTTGTAAATGTAGAAGGAATGATAGTATATTGTTATTTTTCAGTCACCATTTTGGTAATTGATTTTTGGACAAGATCATCAGTAGAAACTGAATGTAATGGATAGAAATCTATTGGGAAACAAATCTGCAAATATTGTCAGAATACTTAGACATTAAAAGGGGCAAATATATATTTGAAATAGAGATATCTGGCATATGCTATTTTATCTGATCAGGAAGAAAACTGACCGTATCTGCCTTCTGACAATGATATCATATCACTGTATGGTCTTCTGCCCCAAATGTCAGCTAATCTAAATCGAATCAAGAAATAGTAATCAGAAAAATCCAAACTGTAGATAATTCTAAACATTTAGACTGCCCTCAAAAAAATGTCAGTGTTAGAAAACCCAAAGAAAGTAAGTGGTCTGTTCAAGATGGAAAAATAGGATTCTAGTAAAGAATCCTGGATTTGAAGAATGAAAAACAGTCATAATCATGGACAGTGTAGGATGAGTAGATACCAGCACATGGGCTGTATTTTAGGTGCTGCATTCCTGCCCATGTAAGTCCTTACTGGGGAGGTAATTGCTGAACTGTTCTGGGCTGGTATCTATAACCACAAACCTAACAACACTACAAAACATACATGGGGGCCAGAGAAAGAGCACTAGCTGTTCTTTAGAGGATCCAGGTTTGGTTTTCAACACTCACATGAGCTCAGAACAAACTACAGCTCCAGGGAATCTAATGCCCTCTTCTGGGCAACATGGGCACTGCATATATGTGGCACACAAGCATGCAAATACACACATAAATAAAAGTAGAACAAAAATAAAAACAGAAGTATAAAGAGAAGACTTTGGCAATGGTGACTTTAGGTGAGAGGTATAAATAGTGTTCACTTACTGTTTATTATTTTGCTTTTACATTGTTTTCTAAAATAAAAAATAGGGGTGAGAAAGAAATGGTTGGTTAGCAATTTCTAAATTTTGGTCAGTATCCTTTTAAAATTCTAGAAAAAAAGATATGCTTATTTGGATAGGAGTTAAGCAAGTATTATTTCTTCATCTAACTTAAAAACAAACAAAACAAAACAGAAAACAGCAAATGGCTCAGAAGGCAGAGCTGCAGGGTGAAATCATGCTGCAATGTGAATGAAGCCTGTGTGTTTCTCACATCTGACCCATAGATGTGCCGGCTCCAATCTGGAGACGCGTTTAGTAGTTACTCACTTTATGATTTTATAAAACTTTTAAGGATCTATATACTGTGCCATGATCTCAACTTTAACCCTGAAAGTCAGTGTTATACTGGTTGAGCATCCCTAGTCTGAAAATCAAAATGCCAAGTGCTCCAAAATTTGAAAACCATGTTTTTGATTTGACATTAGGAATTTTCAACCAATGGTTTTTGCAAATATTCAAAAATTGAGAAACTCCAAAATGGGGAACATTTCTGGCCTTATGCTTTTAGGCAAGGGACACCTAACCCATATGCAGTTTTCTTGTACATCTTTATAATTGGTGAACTGTTGTGGAATATTAGTTTAAGATGTGTTACATTCGTTTATGTTGTGGAATATTTGTTTAAAGATGTAAAGATGTGTTGCATTCATTTATGTTGCATTTGTTGGACTCTGTAAAGCTGTGTTATTTTGTCTGTCTAAAACACCTGATGGTCTAATAAAGAGCTGAAGGGCCAATAGCGAGGCAGGAAAGGGATAGATGGGACTGCCAGGCAGAGAGAATAAATAGGAGGAGAAATTTTGGCTGGAGAGAAGAGGGAGAGGATTGAGAAAAAGAGGAGAGGAGGACACCAGGGGTCAGCCACCCAGCCAGCCATGGAATAAGAAGAAAAGAAAGATACATAGAATAAAGAAAGGTAAAAAGCTCAGAGGCAAAACATAGTTAAAGAGAAAGGGGATAATTTAAGTTAGAAAAGCTGGCTAGAAATAAGCCAAGCTTGCTGGTTGTGGTGGCGTGCACTGGTAGGATTTGCTGAAGGAGGCAGAGGCAGGAGGATCTTGAGTTCGAGGCCAGCCTGGACTACACATTTAGGCCGGGCGGTGGTGGCGCACACCTTTAATCCCAGCACTCGGGAGGCAGAGGCAGGTGGATCTTTGTGAGTTCGAGACTAGCCTGGGCTACCAAGTGAGTTCCAGGAAAGGCGCAAAGCTACCCAGAGAAACCCTTTTTTGAAAAACCAAAAAAAAAAAAAAAAAAAAAAAGAAAGAAGCCAAGCTAAGGTCAGGCATTCATAAGTAAGAATAAGTCTCTGTGTATTTTTTGGGGAGCTGGGTGGTGGGCCCCCAAAAGAGTTTAAAAAAATCAACAACAGTGAATTTACAAGTTTACAGCCAAGTCTCCTTTAATTTTTCTTCATGCAGTGATGTCTAGACTTTACATCATGATCTCATTAATCATAATCTAAATTGCAATTGATCTTCAGCATGTAATACAACTAAGTTGTTTTCACAAAACAGAAGGACTATGATCAAAGGATAACTAGTAGAGATTGTTATCTATAAAGACATTGTTGTAAAATATGATTATTACCAAAGGAGGTGAGTCAGGAGATTTTTTTTAATAACTCAGTGATTTAGTATTTGTTATATATTTATTAGAAGTGATATATTGCAAAGTAAATTGAATTTAGCTGGAAATTCTTGCTGTGCTTGTAAATGTTTCTTGTCTCAACCCCCTTCTCTCATATACTGATTTTGTAAATTGATGTCAGATTTTTTTCACAATCTCTTTATATTAATGACACAGCCCAGGAAGCAGAAAAATTTTAATCAATTCTTAGAAAATGTGGAACAGTAGCTTCTACCCTAGTTTCTGAGAAACCAGTTTAGTTTAATTGATTTTCATCCTCATCTTATTTCTGAAAATTGCTTTCAGAATGTGAAGAAAAATCTCTAGACAAAGCTTAATGCCATAAGCATTATAGGCAATGCTCGATGGCAGTCCTTCCTTCCACAAGCACCACAGCCTCTTAATGGGAACTGACGAGTCTCCAAAACACAAGAAATCATGAACTATAATAGTATCGGATTTAGCTTATTCACTGTTCAGCATGTGCTCACATTCCATTGAACATTCAGTTTGGTGAGGAAGAAGTCAAGATGTGTTTCTTCCTATGATGTATTAGAAAAGACCACAGGTAGGTAGGCAAGAAACCATGTTGGCTTCATCTTCAAAACATAGCCAGAGGCCAGACCCTCTTCTTCAGTCTCTTGTTCTCACCCTGGTGACCTTCATCTTATTGCAGAGCTCTCTGGCTGTGACTTTGCCTCCACATGGGCTGTTTTCAACAACCAGTGTGTGATCACAAGTTAGAGCACATCACTTCTCTGATCAAAGTCCTCAGTAGTGTCTTTTCCTTGAATCAACGCCAAGGTCATTCAGAGGCCTTTAAGGTCTTTAATCTGGTGCCCCTGGCCTTATCTGGATTGTACTGATTTGGGTCTCTCTTCAAATGACACTCATCAACTGCATCTTCTCTCATCTCCTCTATCAACTAGTAGTTTGTCCTCTTAGCAGTATCTTGGAATACTTCTTTTGGTTCCACCGGCCTCTCATCATCCTATTGTGGCTTTTCTCTTGTTGAAACCTAGGAGGAGGCTTAGCAGAAACCCTGTCTAACTGGCAGTGTTAGCTCTCCCTGTTGGTTGCTGATGCCTCGGCTAGGCCTCTACCGGGCTCATATGTGAATTTCTTTTCGTATACCTCCCCATGACCTTGTATTTGAGGTTGGAAATCTGGTTTGGCTCCATTTCTTTGAACTCTTTCTTTAGTTCTCAGCCTAAGTGCTCTGCAGAGCCTCTTCATACCTGAGCACCTTAGCCCCGGCCCACAACTCTCAGAGGAAGCACTCTCTACTTCGCACCCAGAGACAAACATGTCCTTGCTATACCAGTCAGCCGGTTGCCTCACCCGCACCTCTCTGCATGCTCTGCTCTCTCTCACTCTAGTTCCTTCTCCCCATTGCATTCGAGAGTACAGAGACTTGAGAAGCCAGCCTGCTGCATGAGCAGGTACACACCAAAGGGGTAAGAGGTCAGTGTCTCCTTCTTGTGCAGTTCTCCTGCTCGTGGGTTTCTCTTACAAATTCCCTTGCTTGGCTCTGACACCGTGAAATGATGCTGATGCTGGGATTGAAGGAGCCCTGGATCCCATGAGCACAAGATGCAATGTGCTTTCTCCAGGCCAGCAACTTCTAGTGCCAAAGATCTCCCCTCCATCCCCCACCCGGATCTTAATCTTAGCTTCTATTAGCCTTGGCAGAGAATTGGTGGTATGGGAGAATCCAAGTTGGTCCTTCTGTCTTTCAGCAATTATAGAGTTGTGTGTAGTATCGTACCTCTTAGAATGTGGGGCCTTATATCTATCAGTTTTCAGCATTGCAATTCAGCTACTCAGTTTTATAGCTAATATGTTCCCTTGCCAGCAGATTCATGAGATTTAATACAAGTGTGATCATTCAAGCACTCTGACCGTGTGTTCATAGGGTTGATTGCTTTAATACATAAACTGTTTGGTTTGGTAAGAAGAACATTTTCTAGATACTTATGAATTTACTATATTCACAAAGCTAAATCACTTGTATTTAACTTCCAGGGCGAAAAGGAACAACCTGTGTTTGCAATGACTGGCCTCCGATGGGGATCCTTCAGAGATGCTGGCGTCAAAGTTAGCAAGTAAAGGATTGCTTACTGGGTTGATATGTGATGAGTCTTTAAAAGTTTTATTCCATCCTGCTTTTGAGGTTTTAAAATACACTTGTCTGCGAGTATATCTTCTGGGTCAGGAAGCTGAATTTGGTATTGATAATGAAATAGGAGCAACCAGGTAAGAGTCTGGAGTCTGTAGGCTGAAAGGACAGGGAAGTTCTATAAAGAGAAGGGCATGTCTATTTTGACACATTTAGCTTAGGTTCAAGCTACGTAGAAGGAGGAAGTGGCATTGCTTATTATACAGCAACATGCTTAGCTGAACCCCAACGCATGCTGTCTGCGCCTCGGCCTCGGGGAGCCCTTACAGTCCTAGTTGGTCAGCAGACTTTGTGTGAGCTGTTGTTTGAAAATGCGCATGGGTGGGCTGCTCCTCTGAAGGGAGAAAGGTGGGTGTCTGGCCTTGCTGACTAGAAGAACGGCTCAGGAGGAGTGATTAGTAGGCCAACGCTGTCCTTCATGGGAATAGACTTAGTTTTGGAGACTCATGTGGAGTGAAACTTCTGGCTAGGAAAGAGGCGTGGAGAGGTAGTGTGGGCCGGCTTCCCGAGGCAGGACTGATGAAGACATCGTGTGAGGTTCATTTCATTCCTAGTGGAGGTGTTCTCCTCCTTTGCCTTCAGCCCAGGGCTTACAGTTTAGTAGAGATTACTGAGTTATGATTGATTTCATGTACAGCTCTCTCGTCAAGAAACCTCTCTTGCAGTTCATGGGCCAGACTGCTAAACTTTCTTCACAGAGATTTCTCACACGTTTCACTCTATTATCCCTGGTAATGAAATTGCCAACAGTGAAATGTCAGTAGGAAAGTACTGCTCTATCTCATTACACACTACAGTTTTTAATGCTTCACATCTTTTTATTTGCAAGTGTGCCATGGTTATGTTGACGCCACAAATTACCTTGTGTTTGATCTGTCATCTCAGATTCCCACAGCTCCCTGAGAGGAATTGCTTAGCTTTCTCTGAGAAAGTCTGCTCAGAACCAATGGCTTTCCAAAGTGTTCGGATCACCAGTTGGGCACTAACACAGGTCAGCTGTCTTAGGAATAGCTCATCTACCTGCTGCATATTTTGGCTGGCTTCTGAACAATGCGTTTCAAAGTCTGCAGGTGGCCACATAATTCCTTGGCTAGGACTGACTGCTGAGTCACTTTTGGTGTGAAATAAGAAACTTGCCCGCCATAGGAAGACTACAAGCAGAGTCCAAATTTACTACTGGAAAAGGTGCAAGGGACTGCTGATACTTTAGAAATAAACCACCTGAACCAGGGTATTTTTTTAGCTGGCTAATTGGGAAAAGGAATAAACTATAAAGGGCTTCAAAATATCACAAAATATCAAATATCCAAGGCCCTCATTAATACCCTCCCAATATTAACCTGAATGATAATTTAGAATGGCTACACTTTAGCTTTATCTGACTTTGTTATTCTGGGACTTTGGGCCTAACTTCCTGTCCATCCCTAATGACCAGTTCTGGATTTCTATTATTGAGCCTTGCCCTTTGTCTGATCTATACCTCTTCCTACCTAAAGTGATTTTCCTCCCTCTTGTATGTGTCTAGATTCAGTTCACTCCCCGTCACTTTCTGCTCCACACTTCTACTTTATCCTGTGTGTTTTATTTCACAGCATGTTTTTTTTCTTTTCTTTTTTTTTTTGACTTTTCTTACCATTAAATAGTGATCAGTTTATACCATGACATATGAAATCACGTGTTATTTACTAGTATTTAGGGGCTGTTAACTTCCTTAAATCATAGGCCCAAAGGTAGGAATTTTACACTGTGCCCTTCTGTATGTTTATACTCTATACATCTTTCTCCATATATGTAATAGGAGCTAAATAAAGGCCTTCTGACATGAATCAGTCAGCAGCAGTCAAGTAGCATGTTGGTATAGGAGCTAGATCTAAAGAGTAGCATCTATATATATCACTTTCTAATTGCAACCTGGCATCTTCCTCTCTAGTAGCTTTATGCACTTAGCAATATGCAATCAATTTTCACTCTGAGACTTAACACTTGGCATATTAAAGCTGTATAACTTGAGTAATGTAAATTATACTGGTTTATATGAATGTATGTGCATTTTGTGTGAGAGGGGCTTTGGGGTACAGGATCCAGTCCTGTGTCTTATAACACATTAGGTCCTGCAGTATCTATAATACACCATCTCTTTGTGGTTTTGGTGCTTTCTTCTTGTGGCCCTTTTAAATGTATACTCAACCTATTCAGTGGGTAAAAGTCTATATTATAATGACTTGTAAATTTGGAGGTCAAAGAGACTTAGGCTATACATCTCTTATTAACTACAAGGATCTTTCTACCATCTAATTGCGTATTGTTAGGTACGCCATTAAAATTTAGGTTAAAACTGTATTTATGTTATGATACAACCTTTAAGCCCCTAGAGCAGCCAATCATAGAGAGGTACAATCCTGATGAATGGATTGTCTTAGATGGTATTTAGAACACTGGTAGATCTTTTCATCTTTTTATCTTGTTTTTTTCTCAGGTACTGGTATCTTGGTCCACTGAAAATCAAAGCAGCCCACTTTTTCAGCACTCTTCAGGTAAATGCAATTTACAGTGTAGAACCTGTCCTATGTTAATGCGATGTTTCTGTGTGACATGTATATTTGAGATATTAGTTCCGTGCTACAGAGCCATATCACATGTTCCAACACTAAATGGAAGCATTTGATTTATATAATTACAGAAAACATTCTTGTTTTGATAGACAAGCACTCCTGTCTGTCTGTCTGTCCGTCCGTCCGTCCGTCTGTCCGTCCGTCCATCCATCCATCCATCCACCCTCATTCTCTGTATGGCCAAGCCCATGTTTATTTGTCTTGGATACCTTTCCTTTGCTACTCATTCACCCACCCTTGCCAGACAAACCTTAAACAGAGTGAGCAGAAAGTCTAGATCATTAATATGTGTATCTATATTAGTACCTGACAATGAACTCAAGATTTGTCATGGATTATAGATAAATTAATTATATGGGAGTGTATATATTATCAGTAGGTTTTAAACTGTGTTGATTAAATAAGTGTAGTACTTACTATATTGGACAGTACTACCAATATAGTATACGTCCCTCATCACAAAGTTCTGCTGGGCAGTGCTATATATATAATACATTAAAAAATAATAAGGTCTGAGGTTATGTGCTTACCAATGAGACATAGAAAAAAGGCTCAACAATTTCATATTAATGAAAAAGCAAATAGGAAAGTCACCCAATAGATAATGTGTTCATCTTTGATGCAGACTATAATTTGGTTGGCTAATCTGAAAATTGGTGTGATAAACTAGGTTCCAGTGTTAATATTTAGAGTTATCTGGCATAATATAAATATGCACATACATACATACACACACACACACATTGAAAAATGTAGCTCTCTTAACCTTCTAAGAAATTCCACTTAGGATAAAAAAATAAAATGGAAAAAACTAAAGTCAGTAAAATGCTTGCAGTAAACACACATAGTTTAAAAAAAATCAAATAGAAACAGCAAGGCCTTTCTATTCCCAAGGCAAACTGATTAGTAAAACGTATTGTTATTAAGGAGAATAGTTTCCTGGTGAAGTAGTAACACCTAGGAAGAAATAGTAGCCATATGTTTAAATGGTGGCATTCTAGATCCTGTAAACACTCTCCCATCAGTATTCATCAAGTGCTTATTGCTATGTGATTGGCATACAAAACACAAACTGCACAGGTTTTCTGTCCTCAGGAAGTAATCATGTGCCAGAGAGGAGTGCAGTGGATCAGCGGCCTGACAGATGGCAGGAGAGAAATGTAGATGGGCAAGACAGGAACAGGAGGGCCTCCTAAACTCGCCCGAGGGTCAGGAAGCCTTCTTGAGGGAGGTAGCATTCATGCTAAATTAGAACTATATAGAACTAGATAAACACCCTTTGGGATAGAGAAATGGGCTGTGTGAAGTCACTGTGATAAAACATGTCATTAATTCAGGCTGGTGTAGTTCAGTGTCTACAAATGGAACTGGAAGGATAGGGCTGACTTGGGCAGGTATTATACACAGATCTGCATTGTGGAAAATTGTTTGACCTCAACATGAGCAAGGAGTTGGGCATGAGTAGCTATAGACTAAAACATCAGATACAAGATTGACCAAGTCAGCCAGCCATAGGGAAAGAGTAGGTGCTGTGGTATAAACTAAAGTTGCTAAGAAGTTGGAAGAATATTAGATTTTTAGTCTGAGGGGCTAGAGTTTTGTAACTCAGTTTTTTATTAATCTTGATGATATTAGGGTAAGACCAAGTTTATGGAGGAAGATGAAAGTTTACTTCTGTGGTGAGTGTAGAATATCTGTAGTTCAAAGGAGTATAGACACAGTTGTAATGTGTCTGGAACTCAGAGAGAGATTCTAGGATAAAGAAATCCGTTTCCATGCTGTAAGAATGTGACTGCCATTGAAAGTATGGCTTTGGTAAAGGTGCCATTAAGAACAGATGGCCAGGAATAGCACAATGGACTGAAAATGTTTAGAAAACTAAGGGAAAAAGTGACTGTACTAAGAGAAAAGCCAAGACTAGCACAGCAGCCAATAGAAGAGGGATGTCAAGAGAGAGAGCGAAGTAAAAGTTTTAGGAAGCAACAACAGGAGTCTAAATCAGAACAGGGGGCTGTCCTCTGAACTTGGGAGCTGCCAAAGGTTTGTCAAGCTCCAAAGTAACGGGGTTAGATTATAGCAAAGAAAGCTAAGAAATAAATGGGAGGTAAAGAAATGGAGACAGTCGGCAGTCATGGCACAGACCTTTGATCCCAGCACTTGGGAGGCAGAGGAAGGCAGATCTCTGCGAGTTCAAGGCCAGCCTGGGCTAAAGAGTGAGTTTCAGGACAGCCAAGGCTACACAGAGAAACCCTGTCTTGAAAAACAAAATAAAACAAAGAGAGACAGAGAGAGAGAGACAGAAAGACAGACAGACAGAGACAGACAGAGGAAGGAAAATGCAGATAGCAAAGGTAGATTGTTTCTTCAAGAAACTTGACTTTGAAGAAGAGGAGACAAGAAACAGGAGGGCAATAGAACATTGGTTTTTAGATGAACAAATGCCTGTGTCTATATATCCCAAAGCAGAAGGGGAGAATGGGAAAGTGAAAAGAAAGGAGACAGAAGAGGTGACTGAGTTGGTTAAACCCATACACACACGGAACCCAGGGGAAGGGCTTCTCTTTACACTGAGACGGAAATAGTGCTTCGATCCGGAAGACAGTGACATTAGAGGGATTTGGGACTTTTTCCCTGATGAGCCTGACATGCTTTGACACAGTTGGTCTTCTGAAAAGGAAGCAGGTGATGGATGGTAAAGGTGGACAGAATATTTAAATATAAAAGTCAAGAGAATTTGTACTGTTGCATAGTCCCAGAGCCTGAGAGTTGGTGATGTCACTGATAGGCTCCTCTAACTACACAATCCTGTCAATACTCAGGAGGAGGATGCTTCCCCCACTCAAATAAATGTTAAGCCCTGATTTAAGGCTCCCTCCCTCCCTCCCCACTGACATTAATAATAATAATAGATAAAATGTATAAAAATAACTAGTGTGAGAATGATAAGCTTTGAGGCAGTGGTGAGGCATTAGGCTGCATTTGAATTGAGTCTTAGCCATAGCATTCTGCCCTCCACATGGAGTATGATACCAGCAGTGAAGTAGGCGTTTGATGCAACTGATTTCATTAGTTTTTTGTGTGCCATTGATAAACCAAAGGTAAGTTTATTATGGGACCTCTCTGCTCATTCATATTGATTTCTATTGTTGGGACAAGTAAGTGTGAGCAGTAGTAGTCAGTTCAGTTTGGCTTTCTCTGTTGTATGTTAGGGGAAGTAATACAGACCAGAGGTCACTGTGTTCATGACTTTAAGGCAAGGTTTTAAGAAGAAAGGGAAGCTTGAAGTCTTCATAGTCCAAAGTAGAGAGAACTCTACCCATTGAAGAGACAATTAGCTTGTTAGAATTCTGACCTTTGCAAAGCAAAGCCCTCAGAGTTAGGAATCAAACGTACATGATGAAACTGTTTTCTTCTTCACTAACAGGAGTGGCCTCAGACTCATCAGGCCTCCATCTCTTACACGGGACCTAGAGAGAGACCTCCCAGTGAGCCTGAAGAGACCCCTCCCCGACCTTCTCTGTACCGGAGAATATTACGCAGGCTTGCCTCATTCTGGGCACAGCCACAGGATGGTGAGCAACATGGAGACTGTGGGTCACAAGCCCTGCCCAGCTTCAAAGGTGCCTTGAAGCAGATGCCCAGAATCAGTTCTAGATGCTTCGCTGGAGCAGGAGCCAGTGCAGGCCTTCCAGTGGAATTCAGACTGCTGGCTGTTGCCAGGGCAGGCTTCAGTGTCGTGTGAACGGGCGCAGTGATTTCTGTGTAGTCCTTGTCACTGACGTCTGTGCTGTTGTGCCTGCTTTCAGTGAGCATGCTTTAGGCATAGAGAACCATTGTTTATCCCTGAGTATAGGAAAGGTAAAGCACAGAGCTGGACAAAGAGCTGAGGAAGCCAAGCACAGCTGTCAGCAGCTCAGCAGTCTGGTGTGTGTGTGTGTGTGTGTGTGTGTGTGTGTGTGTGTGTGTGTGTGTGTGTGTGTGTGTAATGTCATTGGAAACACTGACCCATGTCTGATGGATTCCCACAGCCTTCTCCCGAGAGGTGATCCCAGAGGTCTGGAAAGATATGCAGCTGTCCACCATTGAGCTGTCCATCACCACCCGAAACAGCCAACTTGACCTGATGGTAAGTGCACTCATTTTTTTAAAAAAGAGAATTTGGTGTCTGGGGAAAAATGACAGGTGATTTTCTTGCACTAATTCAGTATTTTTATGTTTTGCTCTGTGGGCATAAAGATGAAAGGATCAAGTAAAGGAGGCTATAGTGTGCCTTTGAGAAACAATAGCATTGAGAAGTGGTAGCTGAGTGTATTGGGGCACAGGAGCCTGAGGATCTCTGAACAAATATTTTGCTCATGTTTGGGTGACCTTTAGGGGACTCAGGAAAGAAGCTTTAAAAGTGAAAAGCTTGAAAAAAGTTGAACTTTCACTTGAGTAAACATGCATTATTTTTGTGACTATATTAAATACATAGACTCAGATTCTCCAGGAGAAACACACAGATCTATAGCTATACACATATGGGAGTCTTGTTTGACTTTGGTGAGACAGGGTCTTGCTATGTAGTATAAGCTAGCCTCAAATTGAGATCTTCCTGCATCAGCCTCCTAAATGGTGGAATTACAGGCCAGTGTGCCATGTGTAGGCTATCATACATGATTTTTGGATACAATCTGTAGACAGTGCACTGTCAGAGCAGTAGCTATTAGCCTTATGTGGCTATTTAAAGTTCAGAGGATTAAATAAAGTTTAAAATGCAGTTCCTTAGCCATGGGAGCCATATTTCAAATGCTCAATAGCCATATGTAGCTTATGGCTACCATACTAAATGTACAGATATGAAAATTTCGATTAACTTAGAAAATTCTGTACACTAAAACAAGAAAACACAAACAGTGAAATAAAGCGAACTGAACTGTCAGCTGATCATATGTTGCCTAGAAGCAGAGAATTGATTTTCTAATTTTAAATGATGGAAAGTCAAAAGAATGATATATCATGGTGCACGAGACACGTTTAAGTCACATTTCAGAATCCAAAATAAAGCAATATTGTAACACAGATGTGTTCCTTTATATGTATTTCTCATACTAAACCTGGCATTCCAGGGAAGAGGGCGGAGTAGTTGTGACAGAGACTAGGTAGCCCCGGAGCCTTAGATGTTTGCTGTTTAGCCATTTCTGGAAAAACCATACTGACCCTAGAATGGAGAAAACTTTAGTTATTTATGTTAATTAACAACAGTGCCAGCATAAGTCATTCTCAATTGTGGGCTAATTACTATAATATATTCAACTTTTATGAAAATGAGAGTAGTCTACTCACTGTTATCCTGGCCAATCAGAAAACTGGCAGATGGAGCTGCAATGTAGTGGGAAGGTTAATCTCAACGTTTATGTTTGGAGTATTGCTTTGTTTTCTACTTACACAAGGAATTTGTATCTCCTGTAAAATATTTGCAAACACAGCCCCCTTTTCTTTCTGAAATAATTCTAGTTGAATTAAAGTACTAAATTCAAAATAATAAGACTACTTAAGTATTGAGTAAAATTTAAATGATTTTTCAGTATAAACTTGGAAAGCACAGAAGTTTTTCTAAGCATGACACCTAAGGCAAATTTTATATTGATGCATTCATCTACTTATTTAAAAAGATAAACTTCGGAATAGCAGTTAGGGAAAATATTGGAATGTGGCAGACCAGCATTTATTAACTTTCCTTATCACAAACTCCTCAAATAAATCAATAAGAAGCAAACAGAGACAGTGGCCCAAGGGCTAAAAATAGAAAATGTACCAGGCAGCAGTGGCACACGCCTTTAATCCCAGCACTTGGGAGGCAGAGCCAGGCGGATCTCTGTAAGTTTGAGGCCAGCCTGGTCTACAGAGTGAGATCCAGGATAGCCAAGGCTACACAGAGAAACCCTGTCTCGAAAAAACCAAAAGAAAAAGAAAAGGCACACAGAGGGAAAATAGCTCATATTTGCTGACTTTATTATGTGGGAGTCGTCCTAAGAATCTTACATAAATTAGTTAACTTACCCTCAGATTAACTACATTTTATACTAAGGTTAAAGAAAAAGTGTTCAATGTCGAAGAAACACCAACTGCAATAGTAACTTCTGGATCGCAGTGGTTACACAGCACAGGAGCACTCGGGTGATGTGCATGGGAACAGAGCTCTCTTTTGTCCTTAATGAAACTATAAGCTGTAACCCTCCTATTTTTGGTAGAGTATATAAAGTGTCTAGAACCCATGCATACCCCCTTGTCCTGGCAAGCATAGTTGTTTAATTTGTGGGCGTGAACAGTTAAATTCTTAGTGCTCATAGTCCTCCCTTACTTACAGAGAATTCTGAAAACACCATGAATCAATGAGATTGGAAAGTCCTTTGTTCGGAGGGATTTTTGAAGAGAAGATAAAATTCCTATTACACATTTTCTTTATTCTTAGCCTTTGGCAACAGTGTATTCCCAGTATTTTGCTTGTGTTCTTTTGCCATTGTTCTTTTCTCTGATGACTGAATCTCTATGAATGCACTGAGCTCAGTGGGCATATGATTGCAGCTCTAGATGAGCAGCCCCATTCAGAGTGCTAAAGGCTTTTATCTCTGTGCTAATTACAAAGGTATGTGACACTGTACTTCTTATCACTAGTGGAGCACATTCCTTTTTCTTCTTTCTGTTTTCCTCACCACTACAGAGCAAATAGAATAAAATATTCAGACATTGTAGCTGTCATGTAATAGCTTGGAATTTTTATTTATCATTAAAATAATACTTCCACAGTATGAAAACAGCTTTAGGAGTGTAGAATGTCAGAAATTTAATGTCTCTTAAATAAGCATTTTTATTCTTTAACAGCAACACATACTAAATAGATTGATTAAATGAATATTATGCTTTTATTTAATTTATAATCTTTGTATTTACTAATATGGCAAAATGCTCACCATATATGGCTGAGTGAAGAACCAGCTTAAAATGATTTTCATGAGGTGGTTGGTTCCATTTTTATTCAAAAAAGAAAAACTGCCATCTATAATTGAGCTTTGTGAATGATGAAGGTAAGGCTCCACTTGTATTTACTCATTTCATTAGCCAGTTGTTGGGGCCAGTTTATTGAAGTGCCACCCATCTTTTCCCCTAGAGCTGGACAGGTGATTGTGAGCCACTGTAGTGGAATATTTTAAGGTGTGTTACTTTTGTTTATGTTGCATTTGTTTAACTCTGTGAAGCAGTGATACTTTGCCTGTCCAGAACTCCTGATGGTCTAACAGAACTGGCCAATAGCCAGGCAGGAAGAGAGGATAGGTGGGGCTGTCAGGCAGAGGGAATATAGAGAGGAGAGATCTGGGAAGAGAGATAAATCTATCAGCCAGAGAAGGAGGAGAAATCCAGGAGCCAGCCACCCAGCTACACAGCAAGCCATGGATTAAAGGTAAGATTTACAGAAATAAGAGAACGGGAAAAGCCCAGAGGCAAAAGATAGACAGAATAATTTAAAGTTAAGGAAAGCTACCTAGAAACCAAGCCAAGCTAAGGCTGGGCATTCATAAGTAAGAATAAGCCTCCATGTGTGATTTATTTGGGAGTTGGGTGGTAGCGCCCCACCCCACCCCCTTCCGCAACAAAAGATAAAATACCAACAACAGCAAGCCACCCAATGAGGGTGCTGGGAACCGAACTCAGCTCCTCTGGAGCTCCTCTGGAAGAGCAGCAAGCACTGCTATCTCCTGAGCCATCGCTTCAGCCCTATGATTTCTATAAATACTTTAGAATGTTTATTAGGTTCCTCATAAAAGTTTTATAAGGTTGCATTGTACATATAGATCAATTTGAGGAGAAATGGCATTTCTATAGTATTGACCCTTCTGGCGTATCAATGTGATGTATCTCTTCATTTACTGAGGTCTTCAGTATCTCTCAATGAAGTTTTATGGTTTTCTCTATAGTATTTGCCTATTGTTGGTTATCTTACTTTTGATACTGTTATCAATATATCTCTTAAAACTTCATTCTCTAACTGACTAAAAAGACAGACATTAAATTGATTTGTGTGTGTGTGTGTGTGTGTGTGGTGTGTGTGTGTGTGTGTGTGTGTGTGTGTTGATGCTGAATCAGCATCCTAATTAAATTCTTATTATGTTTGCCTATGGGCTCTTTTAGACCTGCTATAGATTTTGCTATATCGACAGCAAACAGTGACAGCTCTGTCTCTTCCTTTACCGTTACAATCCTCTGCCTTTCCTCACCACCCTGTGAGGACTTCAGTGGTGCTGGACAGAGTATTGCTTACGGGAGCCTTTGCTTTGTACTTGAATGTGATGAAATTTTTTTGATACCTTTTATTAGATAAGCAAGTTCCTAATAAAGAGAACTTGCTAGGTTTGCTAAGAGCTTTATTAACTTTAAATTTCTTAGACATTAAATTCTATCAAGTATCTTTTCATCATCCCTTAAAACAATAAGCTTCTCACCGCATCTGCCAATATGAGTTGATTTTTGAATGGATATGAGACTATTGGCCAAGATACTGAGCAAGCAATAGGTTTACCTTTGTACATTCGACACTGATCAAAATCTGTGAAATAACTGTTGCCAGACACTGGCAAGAAGCAGACAGCACAGGGCAGGGGTCCCAGAGAGAGGACACTCAGGTGAGGTGTGCCTTATGTCTGCCCCAGCCTCCTGCTTGACAGAGGCCGCTGCATGGAGGCAGGGCTTACCAGGGGTCCACAGTCTCCTCAGGGAAGGCATCTTTGAGAATTCAGGGGATCAGGGCATTGAGAATTACAGGGCAAAGGAAAAGAAATCTGCCTTGAGGGGTGAGACAGGGATCCACAGATCTCTGTAGCCTTCGTCTGTATTTTCACTGATATATGCATATGAGAAGCCACCTGAGTTGAAGAAATAACTCCTCACAAGAAACAGGCTCAGTCCTGAGAGATTCAGTCACATAATAAGACCAAGAAATGTGTTCCCACCGGGTGAAGGTGAAAATTGTCAGAGCTGGGGTGTTGATTCTTAAAAAGGCATTTCCTCAGTAATGGGACAAACTAGTCTGATCCAGGCTGACATTTCCTCTAGCGAAATCTGGAGACCAACTTGCAGTCACCATTTCCAGGTAACCTAACTGTGCCTCTAACAAAGCTGAAGGGTGGCTGTCAGCAGAGGATAACCACAGGCACATCTGGCCAGCTGCCTTCAAGCTAGGGTGTTGTTACATTTTAAACAGATGGGATCACACAGAATTCAAGTTTCTGTGGCTTCTATTGGAATGCAAACACACTAATTTATTAAGTACTGCATGACTGTTTTTACATGGGACACAGCAAAATCTAGTGGCAATCATAGAGCCTTCTGATACCTCTGCTGGCCCTTAACAGAGAACACATGTTGGTGTCCATTCTACCTGGAACATGGCTGTGCTGCCCCGCTGCAAGTTTAAATATGCCTCTTTATCCGCTATGCTATTAATTAGACCTGGTGGCTAGATCGTTTCCCTCGTCCTCCCTGCCAGCTCCCAATGCCATGTCCCATCATTGGCCTGTATCACTGTCCTGGCATCTGCTGAACCTTTGCTGCTCCTGATCATTTCTCTGTAATGTTCTTTACTGGCTCACTGCCTGCCTCTGCATTGAGACCCCTGTCTCAATTCTTAGCCCAGCAGGCAGAGTGACCCTATTACAAAAAGCCATAACATTACCCTCCTTGGAACCCTCCAGCGGCTCTCCATTTCACTCACCCTAAAAGACACATTCCGTAAAGTGGTCTCCAGAGCCCTACCCAACAAGATGCTCCCTTCGTCTCCATCTTCATCTGCTTCTCTTGTCCTTGCCACTCAGTCTGCTCAGACATGTGGATTTCTTTGCTGTTCTCTGTACATTTCATGGATGCCCCCACCTGAAGGCCTCTGTTTAGGTACTTCTCTTTGTATGCATGGCTTGTTCCTAGAATAGTGCTTTTCAAAGTATGGTCTTTAGATTGGCAGCATAGATTACCTGGATATTGTTTGAACTAAAAATTCTTGAGCTTTACCACAGGCCCCTGAGCTAGAAACTCTGAGAATGATAGCAGAGTCTGAGTCTCTTTAAAATTAACTTTTAGCCACAGATGCAAACAGGATCCTGATGTTAACCAACCCTCCTGGGATACCCGTGATTTGAAAACTGCTGCTCTAGATGAATACATGTCTTGTTGTTCACCTCCTGGGCTTCTTATCAGAGTCACCCTCTCACCTGTCCCTCTTTAAAACATAACTCACTGGGGCAGGAGAGATGGCTCCACAGTAGAAGAACACTTTCTACTCTCCCAGAAGACCCAGGTCTTCAGAGGACTCAGGCTCGATTCCCAGCACCCACACAGTGGCTCACGATCATTTAATTTCAGTTCCAGGGGATCTGACACCCTCTTCTGACCTCCATGGACATCTTGAACGCATATAGTGTATGGGCATACAAGCAGGCAAAACACATATAAAATAAAAGTAAATAAATATTTTAAAAAGTTACTGCTACCAATATCACCTAAGGCTTGTTTATTTATGATATTTTGTAATATATTTTGATGTATTTCTAATATACCTCTTTTCTACTGTATTCAGAAATACACTGTTTTATTCTATCTACTCCTTACACTCCCAACAGTAAAATGTAAGTTCTTTGTGGGCAAAGCTCCTTGTGGGTTTTGTTCAATGATGTAACCCAAAAATTCTGAGGGATTAAAGAAATTTGGCTGGCGCTCGGTAGGTAGTTGAGTGAAGTGTGAACTCTGAGCAGTCATTATGTCAGAACATTGTGTTTGTAATTCCTGGTTGGGAGAGATGTGCTTCGTGATACATTTGAACCTCTAGCAAGGGCTCTCAGAGGCTTGTGTGTGTTCTCCTGGGCCGACATGTTCCAACTCCTCCAAGAAGCCCACACGAAGGCTAGGCTTGGGGTGCTGGCCCATGACTGGTAGCAAGCTGAGGACGGCACAGAACTCAGGACTCTTTCCACAGCTCTCCCTTGTGGATCATCTTTCGGCGTTGGTATGGATAGAACCACAGTTTTACAACTCTTACTGGGGAATCAAGAGGTTGCTGTCTTCTACTCTGATTGCCTATCACGTTTGCATTTAGAGCGTTTTAAAGAAGACGGGCACCTGTGGGTGACAGCTGCGTTAGCCCAGTTTTCAAGTCTTAACATTCATGTTCTTAATCTTTCCAGAGCAAAGAAGACTTTATGAACATTTTCATTGAGCCTGATACTGTCAGCAAAGGAGATTTCATAACCATAGGGTAAGCGCCTGGCCTTTGGGAAATGGAGCTGCATGAGATAACTTGTGTCGTCAAACCTTTCTGTTCAGAGTGGGCTCTCCACTTAAGGTGGAGACCTGGTAAAGGCCTTGTCTGTCTGTTTGGGAATTCTTCTTTTTTATAATGGAGCTGGCATGTCTGGTGCCTGTGTACTTTTGCCTCTGCTCATTTTGGGAAAAGCACAATGTAACAGTCTGCCTTTCAATTGAAATTAAAGAATTCAGTGTTGCAGGCATAGTCCAGGACTCGAGTTTCAGGCCAAGAGCTTGATTGGCTCCTCACTGGTCTTGGGACTCTAAGGTCACTGACTTGTCTAAATCCTTTCCCATCTGTAAAACGGAAGGATATTATGTCCACCATCTCCGGGCTGCTTGTTAGTCTCAAGGAGGCTTTTGACACTGAGCCTCACTTCCCAGTATCTTTTACTGTGCATGCCATTCACCTCGTCTTCCTGTTCCCAGAACATCAAGGACAAACTTGAAAGGACACTGCATACCTGGACATTTCCCAGGCTTCCCCTTTTCTCATCCAGTAGACTCTTCAGAGTCCTGCCTGATTTGTTAAGTCCTGCCTCAGCCGGATCGTCATTGGCTGAGAATTCTGTAAACCCTCCAGACATCTTCCAAGTATCTAAGGAGCTGTGTGTTCCCATGCCAACAGGAGTCTGCTCAGCTGCCTTTGCATTGTCCTGGTGCTCCCTCTCGTGCCCATTTAGGGATTGGACATTGCTGCTCTTGCAGCTGTATCTCCATGGCTGCGTCATTATCTATGCCAGCGTAGGCAGCGGAGTGGCTTTCATTAGTCTGTGTTGTTCTCGCCTTTGATACAGATTCTTCAGACACTGAATGGCTCCTTGGAGCCTTTGATTATTCTCGCTGTATAGTAAAGGGAAGAAGGAAGAAGGCTGTCCCTTCTACAGTGGGCACAAATCACACAGTATCTTAAGTGATTCTGGCTAGTGGTGGCAGCCATATTCAAACCTCCTTTATAAAACTGACACCCAAACAAAAAACCCCACCGTATCTCTTAAGTTAGATGGCATTATATTCACATTCTTATCACCAAGTTTCCTTTTGGTCCTTAAGGGAAGTAAATTTGTGTAATTCATGTGTCCACTGAATATCGTAATGGAACATGGTGAAGCTGCTTTTAAAACTCTGATGACAATTCCATATACAAAAGAATTGCTGTTTCCAAATAACAATAGATAATAGACTTTTTTTTTTGAGACAGGGTCTCTTACAGCCCAGGCTTGCCTTTAACTCCCCAAGTAGCTCAAGCTGGCCGTAAACTCCTGTTTCTATCCTTTCTTATTTATCATAACCAGCCAAATGGGGTACATATGCATTGAGGTCCAGTATGTTTGTGCCTGACTGCTTTACTCCAAGGCCATTTAATAAAGGTAAATGTGCTAAGTAGGCGATTACATATGGAGATTTATCAGAAAACATCTAAGACTGTTTATAGAGATTAAAGAAGTATCTAACCTAAACTAGAATAAAACGAGTTTGTCCTTAATAAAGGATCACAGAAGTTTGATGCTTTTCTCAAAGGATGTAATTACATCCCAATTTTTAAATTTAAGATTAACAATTTAAGAACTAGATAGGTGCAGAACCATTTAAAAATAACGGACAACTGAGAGAAACAGCCTCAGCTTGATGCAGTTCTCTACAGCAAGACAATCAGTCTGCTCGCTCCAGAACAGATCACAACACTAGACAAGAGTCATAGGGAAAATGTGTCGTGTCCTCGTCTCTTTCACTTGCCCTCAAAAGGGGAGACTGGGCTTTTCTGCAGTCTAGTGCAGTTGCCATCAGAGATCTGACCTTGCTTTTTCTTACACTAATAGAAGTAAGAAGGTGAGAGACCCTGGCCTGCGCGCAGCTGGTACCGAGTGTCTTCAAGCCAGTCACTGCACTCTGCTGCTTCCTGAGGTAAGCTGGGCCCGTACTGCACTCTGCTGCTTCCTGAGGTAAGCTAGGCCGGCTGCTGTTTTGGCTTGGTCTGTCTGTCCCTCCATTTTCTTCTTCCTCCTTCCACACTGACTGCCATTTAGGCGCCTTCTGTTTGGCAAACTCGTTATCAGGTCTGAGGTAAAGGAGAGAGGCAGAAGCTTCTAAATTACTGATTGGGAGCAGGCCTCCGAGGACTTCGAGTCTCTAAGCCAAGCTTTTCCCTCAAAGTGATCCTTAGGTTCCCCTGACCTTTGCTTCTTCATGCCAATAATGCAAAAGATGTTTCCAAGAGTATTATCTGAGCCATTTTCTAGCTGGTAAACAGTGGATTTTCTTTTTTCCTTAAAGTATGCTGTTGTGTGCTACACTTAGAATAACAACAGCCTTTCTAAGTAGGACTAAAAAGTGAAGACACATGAATTGAAAGTAATCTGATTGCTGCTGCTCCAGGAGAGATGTACTCCAGGTCTCTGAAGAGCGACGGCCGTGCTGCGGCTGGCTTGCATTGAAACTGCAGGCAGATAGGAGGTGCCCCCGTGTGCTGCCACCATGATGTCGTGGAGCAGATGCTGGATTAACTGAGTTATGGCAGGGCTCCACAGTCTGTAATGGTGCTGGTGTTGGCACACCCAAGTCTAAAGTCCAGCAGGTCTTGGGGAGTAATGAAAATGAGTCAGTGGACACAATGTCCCTCACATGAGAATTAGCTGTCGTTTTTTTGCTTTTAGCTTAGAAGGATTATAGTCTCTGGCCCTAGGTTACACATTCATCAGTTTTTTTCCCCAATGGATATCCTTGCTTATTTATCATGTTAGTTCTTTGACAGTTTCATACATGTATAATATGGAAGGGCTCTTGCCTTTTGGTAATTTTTTTTGTCTTTTTGAGACAGGGTTTCTCTGTGTAGCTTTGAAGCTTGTACTAAAACTAGCTCTGTAGATCAGGCTGTCTTTGAACTCAGAGTTCTGCCTGCCTCTGCCTCCCAAGTGCTGGGATTAAAGGCGTGCGCCACCACTGCCTGGTGCCTTTTGATTAATGTTTTGAAATTTTAACCTCATTCAAGCTCCAAAATGCTCTTTGAGATACAAGTTTTAAAAAAGAAAAAAAATCCTTTTCACGGACTGGAGAGAAAACTGAGGTGTTTCTGGGACCATTCAGCACTGGGAGATTTTGTTAGGTTGGGCCCTCGGGGGAGATGCTTCCTTAACCACAGTGAGGTCACAGAGGTGCATTCAGAACCCCTCCTCTCTCCAGGGCACTGAGGGCTCCTTCAGCATTGACAGCGAGGAGTACGAAGCCATGCCCGTGGAGGTGAAACTGCTGCCCCGGAAGCTGCACTTCTTCTGTGACCCAAGGAAGAGAGAGCAGATGCTGCAGAGCGCATCCCAGTGACCCGGCAGCAGCCTGGCGCTCGCAGGCCGCACTTCGAGCCACCAGTGGGACCACAAGGGGACGGGTGTGCTTCATCTGTCCCTGGAGTGTTGTTGTCACAGGATCCCAAGGGAATTTTCATGGCAAGTACTCCTGCCCCCTCCTCCCGTAGTGCTTCCTAGTGTGCATACCCTGTCACCCAGCTGGCGGTCAGCCTTGTTAGCCCATGCTTTCCTTGTGCCGCCATGGTAGTTGATCCCTCCTCCATAGTGCTTTGCTCCGGCTGGGTCAAGGAAGTTCTTGCACTCAGTGAGCTGGAAAGGGCTGGGATTTTCTGATTGCCCCACAGTGGAGAGTGGAATGTGTAGACTAAGCTCCTGTTCCAGTTTTCTGACCGTCCTAGGGCATCCAAGGGAAGCAGCTGCCTTCTTCAGGTGCCTCTCCCTCTTTCTGGGCTCTCTCATGGGTGCTGTGCCTCCGTGACCTCCACTTTGGCTGGTCTCCATCTGGAAAGCAGATGTGAGGTGGTTCCCTCCTCAGCCATGGCTAACATACTATGTTGTTGAAAGAGCAAACCCGTGCTTCTTCATTGTTAGTTTGCATGTGCACAACTGAGGCGCACGGTGAAACTTACCGACCTGGGATCCACCCCAACACCGTGGAACTCAATCTGGCTGGAATCTTCATTTAAACGGCTGCTTCCTGGGTCAACCAACCTGACCTAGAGGAAGTATTTTAAAACTACTTCATAAACTGACTTTCCCAAATGTATTATATGTATTTTTTAAAAATCACGTATTCATGTTGACATCTGTCATTTTTCATGGGAAGTTACACACTTGTCAGTGTGCTTTCTGGTGTTATGTGAATACTGTTGTTTACAAATAAAAAGTGTCACATCATTCTTTTAAACATAGCCAGTGTAATTTAAATGCATCCCTCATTTATGTATATAAATAAACTAGTGAAGTAACTCTTCACTATTTGAAATTTAAAATTTTTTTTTCTCCCTTGGGCGCATCTCTAAACCACTGTGTCAGCAAAGGGATTCTTATCATAGTTTATTTTTATGCTTGGCATTTTTTACCAATTGCTTTTCCTCAGCAAAAAATACAAGTCTAAATAACTTATGGGCTAACTCATTACAGAACAACTGTTTTAACAATTATTGGCATATATTATTAGAGTTATTTGAAGCAGTAAGTAGGTTTTTGGTAGTTGAAAATTGTTATTAGAATGTTCTTGTTCGTAACTAGTTCATTTATCCAATATGTAAATAATTGTGGTGAGACAAGGATATCCAGTATCAGTTATATTCCTTTTTCATTTTTTATTATTTATGAGCCCAGAAAGAAGATGGGAGTAAGAATTACAACATTTTTTAATTGCTTTGACATTAGTGGGAAAAAGTATACTACTGCATTAAAATTAATAATGATCTCTTAACTAACAATCTGATTAGATCTTCCTCTAGTCTGTTGCAAGCTGAGAACTAAAAACATTTGATTTTATAGAAGGAGTTCCTATCAGGTCATTAGTACCATTTATTTGGGTTTTTTTACGTTGTTTTAAAAATTTATTTTATGTGCATTGGTGTTTTGCCTACATATGTATATGTGTGAGGGTGTCAGATCTTGGAGTCACAGACAGTTGTAATGTGGGTGCTGGGAAGTGAACCTGGGTCCTAACCGCTGAGCCTTCTCTCCAGCCCCAGTACCATTTACTTTAGTACTAGCATGGGCATTTCCTTTGCTCATGCCGAGAAGCCCCTGAACTCCAGAAGGCCTGCACTGTATGAATTTGGTTTGAGCCCTTGTCATTGTGAAAGAGAAAGTGACACCTTTAGTAGCAGAAACTTCAGGAAGATAAAATTCAAATGTAAAGACAGTAAGATACCCACCCACGTGTCCCACTGCAGTCAAGTCAGTGCATGAATGGAGTAGATAGACAGTGCCTACAAAAAAGCCCGGAACTCAAGACCACAGAACATAAGGCTTGCCTGTTGGGTTCTGTGTGCTTGTGGTGGTGGTAAGCGTTCTGCTTTAACAACAGCAAACAGATGAGTCTGGAGATGAGCGTAAATCACTTACCCTGTGCCAGCTGTGGAGGGGAAGGGGCTGCTATGTTATATGGAAATAAAAGACTGTGCTTCTGTAACAGCATGAAGGACCAGTATAGTATCTAGCATTCGTTCTTAAAACACCGTGTGTAGCCGCAGATTCTAACCATAACTGCCATGAGGTTTGGAAAGGAATTGGGCCCAAATTAAGAATTTTGCTCACATGCTGGGCAGTGGCGGCACATGCCTTTAATCCCAGCACAGCCAAGGCTGTTACACAGAGAAACCCTGTCTCGGGGAGGGGGGACGTTTTACTCCCTAGTTTCTTCTAAGGACTTGGGTTTCATTGTCTACTGCTTTGTTCTTTGGACATCCATAAAAGGCCCACATTTAACAACAGGTATGCAGATGCTCAGCTCTGCAGAGGGGATCATGGTGGGGGGCCGGGGGGGGGGGGTTCACCTCCAGGCCTTTATACAAGCAACTGTCACTTTAGAACTTTAAGGACAATTATAAAAACATTAGTTCTTATAAAGGGCACTATTAGATATGGCCACCCCACTTAGAAAATAGGACCCAAGCTTTGTAACCAGTGTTACAGTTCATTCTCCCAAAGAAAAAACTGAAATAAAAATTTTAGAGTATAAATAAACATGTGCATATGTATCACTATATAATGCCACATAAAATTCTGGTAAGAGATTTCTGAAACAAAATCACTTCTCTAGAGTCTAGAAGTTTCCTGTGGGTTTCAAGGGCACACAGTCCTGGTTCTTTGACTTCAGTTTCCACTACCTGGAGAGCGCTTATCCAACCGCGGTCTCTCAAAGACCTGGCCGCAGCTCCCCAGTGCCTGTCCTCGGCCTGTAGTAAGAGCCGCACTCAGCCCTTGGGCTCTGCTCACAGGCTGAGCCACCATCGACCCTCCTATCAGAAGCTACTTGGTAAAGGAGCACAGCACACAGGCTCATGTTAAAATGTGAACTTTAATTGTAAAAATTGGGGCTTCTTTGTAAATATAGTTATTATCAACCTCTGCACATAACTTGGTTCAGATATATACAGATATGATACACACAGGTGTCACTTGTACCACAGAAAGAATCAATTCAAGAAACATTTCCACTTAGCCTCAGGGTTAGGTCCAGCTTTCTTCAGGTCTGTAAATACCCAACTGGAGACAGAGAGAGGATACATCGCTCTGCAGTAGTACCCAGAGCAAAACTTACCAGTTATCCTTCGGACTTTGTCATATGAGGTAAAGACTTGAAACAAAAATAGATTAGGGTCTCTTATTGCTATAACTCTTAGGCTGGGGTTATTACTCAAAATAGGTTTTTACATTTAAGGCAACAGGGACACTTATGTTTTAAAAAGAAAAGAAAAAAAAAACAACTAGGAAAACAGATTTCCTTGGTTACAACTATTTCATTTTCAGGAAAGGATTATATTCCAGACTTACACAAAAATTTAGCCAGCAAGTTTTGGACAAATCAAGGAAGTTGTTTTTGTTTACCTCCATCCCAAGTCCCAGAAGCCACTCACGCTGGCAGTTCAGGGGCCCAGAATCCCCCATTTCTGATGGCTGATGTGGGCACAACAAACACAAAGTTCGTTTTCCTAACTTTTATATATCTTTGCTTAATTTACCCAGATACAATGTCAATTAAATATATTTTCTCTGTATGGGCTTTTCACTTTGAAATTCCATCTGTGTGGGCACAGTTTATAAAATTCTATCCCCATAAGTCCCAGCATTATTAGGAAGCAAAGTAAACTCACTGTTAGACTGGGCAGGCACCTGCTGCAAATGTAAAGAAACCTCTGCTGTAAACCTTTCAGAAACCAAGTCAACATGGTTCTAAGAGCCGGGGCCATGTTGAAATTCTAGACTAAGTTCTAAAAAGACGAAAGCAGAGTTTTTTTTCTCCCATCTTCATTTTTCTATAGCACCAGAAAATTCCTACTCCTTTTCTAAATTTACAACATCTCCCAACTTCCAGCCGCGACAATGAATTAAAGTGCCAGGCAGAAAGCCACTTCCCATTCCCACCCTCTCCCTTGACCAGGAGGGAGCAGTCACTGAAAGACGGCCTTTACTACCTCTGTCCTGAAGCGTCCCCCAAGGTTGGTGCCCATCTCATCCTTCCCAGGCCAACCAGTGCTGCTGAAAAAATACATCCGAGTCTGTGCTCGGGCTTCAATACACTGTCATGGACAGGGACACCTCTAAGGGCCTCAGCTGCTATCCGATTATAAAGCTGCCCATTCTTTCTTAGATTATAACTTTGCAATTCCTTTCCATTTCAACACTTTAGTACTCAATTCACCACTCAGTAACATTATAAAAATAAACTTCCGTTCCTCATAGGAAAAACATTACCTCAATTCACAGTATTTTCCCTACAACACTCAGTACTCCAGTAGCTCCTGGGAACAGAGGTATATTAGCAATCAAGTAGACTAGTCAAACCCATGACTTGGGTATAAAGGAGTCCTTAGCTCCTTCCCTGCCCCTACCCGAATCAGAAAAGGATTTTCATGAGAAGGGATGAGACTGGGCCTGCTGAGGTAAGCCCATGGGCCTTAAGGGTCCTCACCAATGGGTGGAACTATTAGCTGTGGGGGAGAGAGGAGAAGGCTGGACAGCTCTCAGAATCACAGCCTACTAGCCTGGAGGTCTAACGGGAAGGTAGCAGCCCCTGGAGAGCCTGGTGATCTTCCTACAGATGTTCTTGTTCGTTTTCAAACTCTTCTCACGGTAAGGCGAGTTCACCGTGAAACTCAGCATCACCCTATAGTTCTACTCATTCACACCCTGAATCCCTTCCTTACCACTGCAAGGACCATCACACTGGACCTGGAGAGGGCCCCTCAGTCCACTCCCTCTGTGCAGTTTAAGAGAAAGACAGTTCCTGAGTTCCTGCATCTCTAAGAGGATAGTGTTTGTCACCAGAAGGCTAATCGGCTACCACCCTTTAAAAGTCTCCTGAAAGTCCCTGTGGAAGGCCGAGTTCATTTTTACCTTCTCACTACACCGGTAGGCTTTCAGCACCTCTAGATAGAGCAAGTTCATCCCCCTTACTCCCAGAAGGAAGACAGCAATTAGCTATGACTTAATTTACCTTTATCTTCTAGCTAAAATATGTTCGATAATTACGTAAGTGAACTTTCCCATGAAGCATTGGCATTACTGTATCTGAGTGTCACTCTTACCTTTCCTGTGGTTTTCCTGTGCTTCCCAGCAAGGTAAGGTACAGTTTTAAGTTCCTATCCTAACTTCTGTCACAGCAATGAAAACAGCTTCTCTCCCATAGCCTGGGTGGGTGGGAGGTGTGGGAGGCAAATGCCTCCTGTCACATTGTACTCCTAACTGGCGGGACCATATGGGTCCCAGGTAGGACACTGACATTGGCCTGGATGCGTGCCCAGCACAGGGAAGGCTTCATGTTTAAAGCCAAAGCTAATACCAAGCAATGACTTGCCCTTCCTTTGAAGACCGGTAGGAGATAAGCTCTGCTATTTTTTTTTTTTTTTATTCCTTCTGGAGAAAGAGTCCTAAGTATTATCTACCATCTGCTAACAAAATTGAAAACATCCACTTTAAGAGGCCTTTGTTATGCTTAGTATCTTATATATATATATAAATGTCCACAAATCCAAAACCCCAGTTTCGGGCCCCCTGAGGATTGTTGTCATTTGGAGTGTCTTCTAACTTAAAAATGACTGAGTAGCCAGCAATGTAAGTCAGCAAGTGCTTCCGGGTTGGCACATGGTTCACAGCATGGTACAGATAGGGTTTAGTGCTCCCCAGAAGGGCTCTGCCAGCTTAGGCAGGGATCCGATGAGGGCCACCAGCAGAGTGGCAGGACCCACATCTGAGTTTTAACCCTGTTCCCTAGAGGCCAGTGGTAATAAAATATGCCTGACTCTGCTGACGGTCAGACCTAGGAAGTTGTTAAGGATGTGAACTAACTTCTTCCAAATGAAACCAGATGGTTTTTCAGAAAGTATTTCAAAAGAGTGAGAAAAAGCCAATCCTAGCTCCTAGCTTCTGCCGTCACTGTAGAGGGCTTCCTCTAGAGTCTACACACTCCTTCCCTTTAGAGGGGACTTGCAGCGCAGGAGGCAGGCTTGAATCTGCTCACTGCCACTGGGGGAGCAGTCTGGTATGAAGTCAGACTTCACAGGGACACAGGCAGGGCTTCCTTTCTAAAACATACCCCGAAGCTGATCAGTGGAGGCCAAGGCTGCAGAGGTGCTAACATACGTGCTGTTCGGCCACACGGAGGCCTGCGCCAGGCTCGGGCCCCAGGAGGATACTGGCAAAGTAGGAAAGGACTGAAGGAGAAGTTGAACCAGAAGTTCTGCTCTGGGGTCAGCTAACCCCACACCTAAGACATGACATCGTCTCTGGGTTGTATTCCCTCTGGGGCCACCCATACACTGGCCCTCTACATGGGTGGGCGGGGCACAAAGAGACCAGGAAAACAGCAGCTTAGTTAAAAAGGGCCCACAAGGCCCAACTTAACAAAAGCCAACCTTTCTCATCCTTGCTATCTTTACATCGGCACAGGAAACAGTGCTGGCAAGTGGAAGGCCCTGGGGAGGTTCTCAGAATGGGCTCTTCCTGTCTCTGGCTATCTATCTACCCCCAACTTGGAGCTCTTAGAGATCATTAGAAGAAGTGTTGTTTCATCAGCATCAGATAGACCCTGTTCAGTCAGCCCGGGGCAAGAGGAGAAGACAGCCATAAGGAAAAAGCAGGGAAAACTCCAGCCACTGAGCACAGCTGTGTTTTGTAAACATGTTACTGAAATGATGGCTAAACCCACATTGCAGAGGAAAAAAATCTATTAGCTAAACAGTTTATGTCAATGCCTAAACTTACTTATATATTTACAGAAAAGATGTTACCCTGACTCATCAGTGTGTATTTGCATCTGCACTCGCAAATCCCTTCACTCTTGAATTTTTTATCAGGGAACTACAGTGAAAATACTTGAGTTAAGCAGTGAGCCTCTAGAACCTAGAATTGAGATAAGAGACACAGCCCTTCCATCCGAAGTTCTCTCTGCTGTGGACGTCAGCCTGGCTGCTCTTGGGCTACAGACATGGATGTTTGATGGCTAGCTAGCTGTTCACATATAACGAGCATAGGAGGAGAAATCATTACTGAAAATACAAAATCTTTAAGGGACTAGCGTTGGAACTGGCTTTCTGAGTATAGTTAACAACTGCCCTCTCATCTAATGTCTCATCTAGTAACCTAGCAGTCACAAGTGACCCAGCCCCAAAGAACAAGGTGACTGACTGCAGGCTCCGTCCTAGACCAAAGGAAGTGGGCATGGTTGGTAGTCTGCGATTTCTTGGCAGGGGAGGCACTGTTATATTTTCCCTGTCAAATCTCTTAAGTCTATGGATTCAATTGCTCAGCCTAAGGAATGCTGTCTCTGCTAAAGCTAAGTTTGTGGGAGTTTCAAACTGGTTAAAGACCTATTCACACCACATCCCGACCTCTGAGCCAACCAGGTCGGACCCTGGCTACATTTCAGAATTCACTAGAAGTATCTGCTTCAGGACTGCAAACAGTCCCTCCAGAGAGCTCTCAGAGAAACATGAGATTTCTTCCCTTGCCTGTTTAAAGCTGTTATTCCAAGAAGATAGTCAGCCCACAAAAGAGACTCAAATGTGAAACGAACTTGCTTGTAAGCTCCAGGGCTAGCACCAACCTTCAGAATCCACCAACCCATCCATCCCAAGGGGTCTGAAATGCAGGGGGTGGCAGGGTTGATATATTGCTCAGACGTCATTCCCTTACTTTAGGAAGGATCTCAAGGATTCATTCTAGCTTTCTACTTACCCTGCCATTCTGTCAGAGACGCTGTTTTCCTTCTCTGTGGCCCCTACTCCAGTCAACCTAGAAGGTGCAGACTTGCCCTATGACACATAGGTCATCCTAACCTGACCCCTAGAACCTGGTGACCCTGAAAGGTCTTCTGATTAGTTTCTGGTTTTAGGCTAAGGCCACACTAGGGCACGTGCTTGTCTTACTCTTGTATGCAGCAAAGGACGAAGACGTACTGATTTTGTCAACTGTTCATCCCAGAGTTTGACTCACTCTGACTGGCAGAACTCCTAAGACGAAATCCAAAGCAGTAGTGGAAGACAGTAGACTCCCGTGTCCAACCAGAAGCTACAAAACCCAGGTGGCCTCCCCTCAGCCCAGGGCTGAGGGGGAGAAAGGAAATGGCAAACACTACATGTGTTGGAAAGTATCAATGGTCCTTTGTATCAACTTAAGCCTGAAGCTGCTGAGGGCCTGGGGTGCACTCCAGGCTCTTGTCACCCCACATGAGCGTCTCACCACCAGTCCTGTGGTACTCTGCTTAGGGACAACAGGGGTTGTCAATGACCAACATGACATCGATGCCATAGGCCTCCAGCAGGTCCATGAGAAAGCTCCTGTCTCCCTGGGGGTCCAGTCCCATGCCTCGGGCATGCTCGGCTGTGAGAGTTTTGTCTTGACTGGCGGACACCTCCAATAGAGTCTGAAAAATCCGGTTATTTTGCTCTAGGAAAAACCTGCATTTCCAAGACAGGAAAGGGAGAGAAGACAAGGCAAAAAGGTCAACCAGATAACCCAAACATGCAGAGCCCAAACTTTGTAAGCCTTCTGAACTAAGTGCACCAATTTTTAAAGGGGGTGAAAGTTAACCGGTTATTAGAGTGTGAATGATGTCAGCAAGGAAACCATAGGTGAGAATCGCCACTGGATGATAGAGAAATCTGTATGGATGATGGCTTGACTACTATTTTCCTGTTTTAAGCACAGCCTCCCAGAGAGGCTCCATAGACACCTTCTCTCCCTCTGCGTCATCATCAGGGGAAGAGTGAAGACACAGAACCTGAAGATGCAGTTCTGGACCAAGACTTCAAGCGAGAGACTGAAATGCACATTCTTCAAAGCCCTGACTGGACCTGCTGCCGTTGGTAGCCAGCAAGCCTGGCTGGAGAGCCCGGGGCTCTGCGCTGGCCTTGCAGCCCTAAGTCACGGATGCTGTACACAGAAAGGGAGAGCTCAGAGGAGCTGGCGCAGGAACAGGGCAGTTCTGAAGCCCGTGCTGTGGAAAGGGGAGAAAAGTGCCCTCACTGAGAATGACCCAGCTCCCAGCACTCGGGGGGCGGGGGGGGGGGGGGCCCCCCCCCTTGGGGGAAAGGGGAAAAAGGCCCCCGGGAGAACCCCCCCCCCCCCGCGGGGGGGGGGGGGGGGGGGGGGGGGTCCCCTCTCCTTGGAGCAAGA